GATATTCCAACCATTCCCACGTGCCCACTCGAGCCGTCTCTCCCGGCAGCAGAGCCCAGACCTGCTCACAGAAATGCACATCCCTTTTCAAGGGCCAAATTCTGGCCCGACCTCCATCTGCGGGGGCATTGCTGGAGCCAGCAAGACAGCAGTTGGTACTTGGAGGAGTACTTTACCCTCAGCCTCCCCGAGTTGCTGAGTCCTTCCCTCTCTTCCCAGAACGACCTACACCGAGCCATACAAAGGACCCAGTCTGCCATGTTTAACCAGGTGCTCATTCTGATCTGCACCCTCCTGTGTCTCGTTTTCACGGGGTGAGTGTTGCTCTGTGTTTCTCTAAGCCACCTTCTTCATCCAGGGGAATCAGCTTTGCACAACCCAGGGATGACTGGCGGAGCCGGGCTCCCGCAGGGCTTACGGGAGGGGAGGTGGGTGGGACCTTCCCAGCTGTGGTGGGATGGCACTGCCCGGACGTAACGCGGTGATTTGGGAAGCCGGAGGAGGTTCTGCCTTTAAGTGCTGTCTTCTAGCTCGACTTTTCAGCCCGAGAGGTTTGTGCACACTGAGGAAAGCATAACTGTTCAGGGCTGCAGATCAGCTTGAACTCCCAAGTCTTTGGCATCCTTTCTTTGCAAATGGGACGAGTCTCAGCTCCTTGGGCTGAGTTTTGGAATCGGGGGAGCCATGGCGAGGAGTGTGCCCCAGGTTTCCACGTGCGTCCATGGGCTTTGGCTTGGGCACAGCCACGTCTGCTGGAGCTTTGGGAGGACCCCCCGCTCCATTGACCCCCTGGCGCTGGGCTCCTCCCTGCTTCACTCCCCAGTGCACTGAACACCGGGAAGATCAATTCCTATTTTAGAAATTAATTATCCTCCCTGATTATATGATTTTAGCAGAAACTTTTTAATGGACGCATGTGAAGATGAGGGTGTTGAGGGGAGATGGGTGATGCGGACACAGGAGTCTCAGGGCCGGGCTGTGAGTGCTGCTGGGTCAAGGGCAGGGGCAGCAGCTTCCCGCAGGGACGCGGGCTCAGATGCGTGTGACGGCTCATTCACCGAATTAATTATCCTCCCTGATTATATGATTTTAGCAGAAACTTTTTAATGGACGCATGTGAAGATGAGGGTGTTGAGGGGAGATGGGTGATGCGGACACAGGAGTCTCAGGGCCGGGCTGTGAGTGCTGCTGGGTCAAGGGCAGGGGCAGCAGCTTCCCGCAGGGACGCGGGCTCAGATGCGTGTGACGGCTCATTCACCGGGACCCGCTGCTGGCTCCCACCGTGCTCTTCCTCCCCACCAAGTTATCATGGCTGCTGAGCTCGTTTGTGTAATAGGCCACTGGGGCTCCTGCTAATTAACTGGGCCCTTTACCCCGCGCGTTGCCAACAACAAGGGCATCTCTTTAGAAAGGAGTCGGTTCCCATCGCTGGTACTTAGCTTTGCCTTAGGCTTCTTGAATTTTCCTCTGGCTCCCTTGGTCTGGATTTGAAGCATATAATATCAATTAAGTTACTGAATGCAGAGGAAATGAAGCTTTTAGGCTCATGAGTCTTTGGCAATAAAGACGATCCTCTGATAGGAATGACTAATGCAATTTCGGAGCTCATCAGTGCTCCCTGCCCGCGGCACCTCCTGCCCGCTGGGGCCGTGGACGTGTTTCTTGGCGGATGTAGCAGGGCTACAACTGGGACCCAGGATGACTTAGGTGACACTTGCGTTTAGCAAGATGACTTTGAAACTGCAGGTTGGTGGAGTTCCGCTGCCTGCCTAACTGCGGGGAGCAGGGCGGCTTTGCAAGGGCAGAGGTGCAGCGCAGTGGGCAACGGGATCTGCCTCCTGCCCGAGCGCATCCCCCCTGTAAGTGAGAGCCCTTCCCGTGGGCTGAGTCCCCCCAGAGCCTTATTGGGACAGCTGCTTGCTTCCACATTTTGGTTTTTTGCAACTCAAGGGCAGCCCCCGGGTGATGTTCAACGTGCCGTCCACGGCATGCTCTTATCGTGACCCATCACCTGGGACCTAGACTTCCCCATGCTGCTTTGGTGAGCAACCGCATCAAACTAACTCCTTCATCTGTAAGTGCCATTAGCTGAATCGTTTCTGTTGGTGACATAAATCCACTGCTGATGCTGACAGCGTATTACAGACAAATTTCCTCCATGGAGATGGGAGTAAGTCACCTTCTAGGGTTCCGGAGCTACGGTCACTGCCCATCTCCCAGGCAGGGAAGCGCTCGCTGTGATGTGTGTGCTTTCTCCCTTCAGGACCTGTGGCATCCAGCATTTAGAAAGAGCAGGTGAGAAGCTCTCCCTTTTCAAGTCCTTCTATTTCTGCATCGTCACCTTTTCCACCGTGGGCTATGGAGACGTGACACCAAAGATCTGGCCTTCCCAGCTCCTCGTTGTGATAATGATTTGCGTCGCCCTGGTCGTGCTGCCGCTGCAGGTTAGACCCGTGTGGCCGAGGATGGAGAGGGATGCAGAGCCTGCACCCGGGCAGCCGTGCTGGCGGGGACGTCAGCTCTCTGCCTTCGTTTGCAGTTCGAGGAGCTCGTCTATCTGTGGATGGAGCGGCAGAAGTCGGGAGGCAATTACAGCCGTCACCGTGCCCAGACGGAGAAACACGTCGTCCTTTGTGTCAGCTCCCTCAAGATCGATCTCCTCATGGACTTCCTCAACGAGTTTTACGCCCACCCGCGCCTGCAGGTGAGGACCAGGCATGTTCTCATGTGCTTGGTCAACGCTTGCCCTTGCCGGGCTCGCGGCCTTGCTGGGCACGGCCAGGTCGCTGCTGGTGGCGAGTGCCCTGCCCAGCTACAGTGGCTGTGGCAAAGAATAGGGTAAAAACCATCCAGCCCAGCACCAGAAAGCACGTGCTCCGCTGGCCAAGGAGAGGTGACAAGTGGTACCCTGCGGCCACCTCACTTTGCCGCTCAGCTGCGGGGCTTGCTGTGCCTGATCCGCCCCGTTTTCTGGCCAGGCCTGTTAAAGCACTGTGTAAGCACATGGAGAGGGACCAGAGGGATTTTTCTAGAGTGTCTTTACTGAATGAAGAATCTCAGACAGAAACAGAACGTGTAATTGCTAAACCTCAGTGGGATTTATCCAGCTCTAACTGGAGTATCCCCACATAATAAGTGATCTTCAAGCAAATGACTGTGCCTTTGCATCTCCCCAGGATAAAAGCATCACAGACGTGTTTCAGATTTGCATTTCATTCCAACACTCACATACGCTTCATTACCATCGCCCAGCCTTGATTCCACACATTCAAGCTCTCAAATCCTGCTTGTTTCTGTAACTGCGAGAGGCTCCGCTTTGCTGTGGGCATGCAAATGTGCCTGCGTTGGCTTTGTTATGCAGAATGGAGTGGTGAAGCTGCCGATGTGTTTTCCAAGACCCTTGCAGGGCCCTAGGGCAGGAGCAGGGGCTGTCACACACGGGAACAAATACCAGAAGCCCCAGAGGAGCTGTTCGCTCAGGCAGCAAAACCCCATTTCTCAGGACCGCCAGCCTGCCGACCCACGCCAGCCTCTCTCTTTCAGGATTACTACGTGGTGATACTTTGCCCAACAGAGATGGATATCCAGGTGCGGCGGGTCCTGCAGATCCCTCTGTGGTCCCAGCGAGTGATCTACCTCCAGGGCTCTGCGCTGAAGGACCAGGACCTCATGAGAGCCAAGTGAGCAGAGGGACAAGCTGCCCATCCACGGCGAGGCCGGTCCTGCCGCGCCGCTGAGCTGCCCGCAGGCCTTGGAGCCGCAGAGGAGGGTCCCCAGTAATGTCAGCCCAGATGCATGACGATGGGCGTCCCTGCACGCCTTCGCCGGGGTCTCGGAGGGGGCTGGCAGTGCCCTGGCTGGTATGGGCAGATGCAATTCATGGGGTCGCTGCTCTCTGTTTGCAGGATGGACAACGGAGAAGCCTGCTTCATTCTCAGCAGCCGAAACGAGGTGGACCGCACCGCGGCGGTAAGCCAGGCCTGGGGGATGGCACGGTCGGGGATTATTCATTTCTCAGGCCAGAAGGGACCGGGGTGATGGCTGCGTCCTGCCTCTGCATGGCACAGGAGTGTGCCGGGAGGCAGCCGGGGCGAGAGCGTGGGGTTCGAGTGCTGAGCTCTGTCCCCTGGGCGCCCGCGCAGGCTGTGCACCCCACGTGCCCTGGGGCAGCTCACCCCAAAACCTCCTCACCTAATGCAATCTTACCCCAGCCTGGGCAGGGAATTTGCTGGGAAAATCTTAGTTTTGGAGCCATGGGAGAGGGAGGAGGTGGCAGCAGTGACAGCTCTTGCTGCCGGCCGGTGCCAGGGACGCTGCCCGTGCTGTGGTGGTGGCTCCTGTCTGCCCGTGCCGTCCTGAGCCCGTGTGGCTCCACTGGAGGGGTCTTTCCTGCAGGTGCTAACGTGTGGAGCAGAGGGTGCCGCGCTCCCTCCTGCCGAGGGGCTGCCTGGCCCTTCCCCCCTTCTCAAGCGCACGGCATCCCTGCTTGGAGTGAAGCTGCCGAAGGGTCCCCGTGGGCAGGCAGTGACCGCAGAGAAATACAGAGGTGGCATGGGGACGGCATGGGGACATGCGGCAGCACGCTGCCGGCTGAGCCCCTGCGGGCTCACCTTCCCTCTGCTGTCCCAGTTTGCCCTCAGTGCTGGGTTTTGGGGAGCAGGGGAGGGAGGTTATCCCCCGTTAGCAGTGGGTGTTGGAGGAGCTTTGCCGTACGTCTCCGCAGTGGCTGGGGGGGTTTCGGGTTCTCCCCGGGTTGGA